AAACTGATGATCTGCCCTGTAAACTTTCACTCAATCCACAATAAAAACCAGAAGAAAAAAAAAAAGAAACACAAAGTACATGAAAAGAAGAAAAAAAAAGATAAAGGAATTTTTCTATGAACACTTAGATGCCCCCTCATGAAGCCCCCTCTTAATTTGTCGATAAGATTCAGTGTGCCAGGATTTTCTTGAGTACTTTTATGTCCATATTCATAAGAGACACTGGTCTGTAATGTTTTTTTTTCTTGTGATGTCTTTATCTGGCTCTTTCATCAAGGTATTTCTGGCCTCATAGACCAGAGATATAAAATGTTACCTCCTAACATTTTTTGTAGGAGTTTGAGAAAGATCTTCTTTAAACGTTTGGTAGAACTCATCAGTGAAGTCATCCCATCCTGTACTTTTGTTTGGAGGTTTTCGGAAGATAAATTCATTTTCATTACTTTTGATAAGTATGTTGAAATTTTCTATATTTCTTGAGTCACTTTTTAAGTAACTTGTGGGTTCCCAGGAACTTGGTTAGTTCATCTAGTTAACCTAATAGGTTGGTGTACAAACTGTTTGGAGTATTCTACTATAATCATCTTTATTTCAGTAAAGTCAGTAGCAATGTCCCCATTTTCATTGCTTACTTCAGAAATTTGGGTATTCTCTCTTTTTGCATTTGTCAGTCTAGTAAAAGGTTTGCTGATTTTATTGATATTTATCAAAGAACCAATGCTTAGTTTCATGGATTCTGTTGCTTTTCTACTTTCCTTCCTTCTGTTTGCTTTCAGGTGGGGTTTGCTTCCTTTTTTATAATCTCTCAAGGTGTAAAGTTTAGCTACTGATCTAAAATCTTTCTTTTGTACTATAGACATTTGGAGGTATAAATTTCCACTGTGCATTGTCTTTACTATGAGCATTTGTTTAACAAGCAGAAGATTACAAATACTTAAATACGTCTACGAAGAGTAGAAGGAATGGATAAATTCATTCATTAAAACAATAAAATACACCTATAAAAATAACAGTTCTTTATTTACTAATTTGAAGACATTCAATATGTTGTTAAATGAAAAAAGCAAGGAGTAGAACAATAAGTGCATTATGCCACATTATGTAAATAAGGGGAATAAGAATTTAGATATTCATAACCATTTACATTTGCATATAGAAGCTCTGGAAAGACATGCCAAACTACTCAGAATGGTTACTTGTTGGCATGAAAAATAGGAGGACAGAGTAAAAGACTAAGACAATACATTTTAATTTTTTTTATTTTGACCAAATGCAAATATATTACCCCTTCATAAAAATTAAACTCCAAAGCTATCAAGTGAATGTCACAGAGACACAAAATCAGGTTGGCTAATTACAATAAAGTCTAATATGAAAACAACTAAGAATTTCTGTTCATCAAAAGGCATTAAATGGTGTATATAGCTAGGTCAGAAACTTGGAGACATTATTTACAGTTCAAGCAATTAAAGGATCAGTGTAAAAAAATCTATAAATGCTTACAAATTAGTAAGAGAAAGACTAACAATCCACTGATGAAGAGACTGGGAAATGAGCAAAAGACATGAGTATAGGTTTCAAAACGATGACATAACTGTCAGCCAAAACACATGAAACAATGCTACCCTTCATTAATCATCAGGGAAGTGAATATTTAAATGCTCGTCACCCCAACAAGACCAGCAAAAAACCTGAAGTTTAATATTAAGGACTGTTGGTCAGTATGTATCAGAGGTCAGCAAAGTGAAGCCTATTTCCTGTAAATACAGTTTTATTAGAACATAGCAGCAACTGTTCCTTTACAAATGGTCTATGAGCTGCTTTCTAGCTACAGAGGCAGAGTTGAGTAGGTGAGACCGAAATAGCTCTGTTCCACCTAAGCATTTATTACCTGGCATTTTATAAGTAAGTAAACAGTCTGGCATTATCTACTAAAGCTGCATACGTACAGGATATATTTAACAATCTTTATAGCGGCACTGAGTACATGAGGAAAAAAATAAAAACAGAGAAAGCATACCCACTGACAAGAGAATGTCTAAATATGATGAGGCTTCCAAAAGTTCATGAAAAAAATCCCACTGTCTTCTAATTCCATTTTGCATGAACTTTTAAAATTCTCCTTATAACTTATGGCATATCAAATAATAGAAAAGTATGAGGGGGTTCAAAATTCTATGGAAAAATGGATTTAAAAGATAATGAAATTTTTTCCACAAATTTTTGAAGCACCCTCATACAAGGCAGTGAAAATAAAAATAATATGTATTGACATGAACTCATAAATACAATTATAAAATTATATTAGCAATACAAAATGTAGAAGTATAAACACAGTATGACTTCATTTGTTTAAAGCTCAAACCACATTTTTAAAAGAATATATGCTTATACAGTTAAACGATGACAAAAAGGCGTAAGTTGACAAACATAAAATTCAATACTGTAGCTCCCTTCTATTTGTAGGTGAGTTAATACATTTGGAAAGAAGGGAGCTTCAGAGCCTTTGGAACTGATCTATTCTTTAAGCTAGATGATGGTGCTTGTTGCTGCTCTTCTCTATGCTTCTGATGTAGTGAGTGACTTGTCTACTCTCTTCTAGCCACAATCTGTGTAACTCCCACCCAAAAACGTCTCTGCCCTCCTGAGTTTGGGTACGAGAAAGTAGGAGAAGATACTGATAGGATGTCATGATTCAGCTGAGGATATTAGCAGAGTTGATTGTGATTATGAAAATGTGGCACTCTAACATTTAAAATTGAGCCATCTAAGAAGCAGGAGTGGGGAATCTCACCATCATCAAAGACGAGGCAGGAGTGGATCCCTGCACAGGGACGAAAAGCTATGACACCAGAGAAGAGGCAGAGGAACAGCAGCAGCAGAGCCAAGAGCCAGAGCACGAGACAGACCAGTGGGCTTCCCAGCCCATGGAGCAAGTAAAGCCAAATGACTTTGGGAAAGAGGCTTGCTTGCACAGTGGGGTGCCTCCAGGCACTTTATTGGGGTGGGTGGGAGGCTAGGTGTGCTTGCAGGCTGAGGCTTTCTTTAGTTGAAGGGGTGTGTCCTGTGGACATTTGTCAGCTGACAAAAAAGAGTTCCAAAACATTGACCAGGAAGAGAGAGACCTGCCTGTGGGCATGGCTGAGGAGAGGTTTTGCTAACTGGATGAACTGTGTCCTAAGCATTTCTGAACTGTAACCTGTTTACTTCCCTAAGAAACCCCATAACTGTGACGATCATGTCTAAGTTCCGTGTGGCCACTGCAATGAATTATCCAAGCCAGCTGAGTAAAGAGAGCTGTGGGAGGAATAGGTGGAAAGATCTGTTGTAGTCTCAACATGTAAACACCATTGTTATTATTTGATATTTTTTTAACTCTACTAAAAAACTCAAATCAAAGAAAGACTAAACACTGCAAAATGTTACTCTCTCTCATTTACTTTATAAATAATGCATTTGCCACAAAAAAGAAAGAGACCATTTAGAAAGGTTTCGTATTTAAAGAACTTTTAACGACTCACTCTCCCCTCAGCTGTTTCTGTGACTCATTGATAGAAAGATGCATGGATGGAAGAAAGGAAATGTTACAGAAGTGTCAGAGGTAACACTTTGATGATCATGCCTTATCAAACTCGCTTTGTAAAACAAGTTCAAGAGGCAAGTATAAAAGAAAGATGGCACCTGACAACAACATAAAAGAAAGAAATAAACATTCTGGAACTATAATTAAATTGCTTCCTATTTAATTCATAATTAAATTTATGAAGTCAGTTCTATTCTCATAATCCACCTAATTAAGAAAAATCTGAATATGGTACTTACTTATTTTAATTCCTTGCTATGTTCCTGAAAGAATTTAAAGGGATGCACAAAAATAGATTACCTCCTTCTTCAACAAAGTACTATAAAGGATACTGATGAGGAAATTGGGGAATTAAAGCACAACAAAAAAAAGAAAACCATGGTAAAGGTTAATACACTAGACGCAGAACTATGATAAGGTCTTATAAAATTTTGAACTGGGCTGAGATTTGGCTCTGGATTTCCTAACAGCTACTA